CTCCTATTGCCGCCTTACTCTCTTATTGCTATTCTAAAATGTATGATAGGCTTGATGTGTAGTTTGAAAAGGCTCTTTCATGGCAGCCCTATCACATGTTACTTACGACATCCTCAAAGTTACGTTCATACTTCGTCTTCTTAGTCTGAGCCCCCAGATGATTTTAAAACTACTTTTTTATGGAGCTGGAACAGGCTGTTCAACTGTTTTGAGTTAAAAAGCAGACAGGAACTTTTTTGTTAACTATGTGTCTACATGCGTAAATATGTTTTCTTATTGAGAACGGTTCAGATGCTTTCCGTGCCCTTAAAATGATTGAATCTTTCCATTTAAATATCACAGGAAGACGCTGACTTTAACAAAGGATCTTCAATCAGAGACGTTATTCTTCATGGAGCCAAAGTGCTCTTTTTGTGTCCTTTTCCTGTTTCTGGTCCTCTTGGGTCAAGGACATATCAGTTCCTTCTTTGAAGATGAATCTAGCCTCATTTAAGAGAACTTAGCCTCAACAAAAGATTCAGGCTTAGAAGTTATCTTTTTAGTTTACTCTAAAAAATTTATATGTAACCTGGATTCTGGTGATATTATCTGCTTGCCAAATGTGGTCCATATCAAACTAACTTTTTAAAATTCTGTAACTAAACTTAAAGTTGAGAAATTGGCAGCATATGCAATATGATTCTCTGCTACTGATTTAGCCCGTAACTATGTAATTTTTCTAGATTTTGTTGATATATTCATTCCTTTTGGTGAATGTTGTTCAGATATTTTAAATATGGCACATAAACATGATATCTTCATTTCTAGATTTTAGCACTAGGGTGTTGTGATTTGTTTGTTTTTTATCTGAATTAAAAATATTCCATTAAACCACAGGAGATGGAGCTTTATTTTAGCATCCTGGTTCAACATAGCAAATGTTTTTAAAAATATTTTCTTCCTGTTAAAATAAATTTTAAATGCAAGATTAATGTGTGAAATCAAGATTAAGGTATAGAATATGATTTTTGGTTCAACATATATTTAGTTTTCCAATATGTACATCATCCTGAAATTTAAAAAGCAAGATTTCCTTTCCCCCCCCCGGAGTATGTGGGGGAAATGCCATTCAATAGCAGGGATAGAGGCTTTTAAAATGCCATTATACTTTGCTTCAGGGCTTTTTTTTTTTTTAATCCCCGAAGCAAACACATGGGCTAGAACTTAAGACTTAGGCAGGCCAACTTAACCCAGACTTAAATGTATGTATGTAGGGTCAAAGGAAGGTGATTTCTTTGTTTCATTGATTTCCTATCCTTTATGTTTCTCATGTCCCTTTTCTCCTAATCTCAAACTCTTAATCTTTTCTGATTTTAGATTATTTTAAAATAATGTGAGATATGTTCATTGTTATTTGTTTGGACTGTTCTAGATGGTCATTCAATTTTGATGTGCCCATAATTGAAAAATGGAATATTCTAGTATCGGTGCCTTTTTGCTAGGAATTTACCTTTTATTCCAGCTGTAATTGGTTAGAAAGTATCTATATGGTCTAAGGCAGGCTTGCTCAACATTCTACCCTCAGGCTGCTTTGGTGGCTGTGGACCGTATGTTATGCAGGCCTGGTCTAAGGAGAGCCAAGGGAAAAAACATACCTGCTACCTCCAGTCTTTTGGCCAATTTTTATTCGGCCCAACTGGGCCAATCTCAGTTGTATAGGCCTCACATATTGCTGTGTTAACCTTAGAATCCACTGGTAGTTGTGGCTGACTCCAGCTGATTGTTCAGATCCTGTGCAAATGGAACGTAAATTAGGACCTGGGAAACTGGCCCATGTAGATGCTATTGCTCCTACAAACTCCTAACTGCCCAAAAGTGAAGTGGACTGTTATGTGAGGGTAGTGGGTTCCCTTTTAGTGGATGTCTTCAGGCTGAGGCTTGAAGACTGCTTGCTGGGGATATCACAGCGGGGATTACTCTTCAGGTCTTTGTTAGACTAGGTCATCTCCAAAGTTCCTTCCAACACTGAAATTCTTTGACTTCTGTTATGTGGCAAACTGTATTTATTGGTCAATCAGTCAGTCAACAAATATCTGTTAAGTATTTATTATGTGTCAAGCACCATACTGAGTGCTAGGGATACAAAGAATGGCAAAAACACTGTAGCTGACCTCCAAGAGCATTACACCACAATGTTGTCCAAAAATGTGAAACGTTGTATAAATTTATATTTGAAAGCCATGGAACATTGCCAGTATTTTTCTGTTTTGTAGCATACGAGATATGAAGGTATAATGGATAGATCATTGAATTTGTAGCCAGAGGACCTTGAGTTCAAAACCCATCCCACGTTACTTACTACCCACGTGGACTGGTGTAACTTTGGACAAAATCCGTTCCCGGGCCTCGTTTAGTTTTTTGTTTTTTGTTTTTTTTCTCATCTGTAGAATGCAAAGGGGTTGGACTACTAGGTGATCTGTAAAGTCATTTTCTGTTGCAGATCCTATGAAACTGTTTTTAGGTAGAAAGCAATGAAGATAGGGAAAGATTGGATTGTCCTTGGGGCAGACTGCCCTAGGAATGAGACAGGGTAAGACTTAGGGAACAAATAGAATGCTTTAGTTTGACCAGGAAAAGAGACAGGAGCCCCTTCGAAGGCCGGAACAAAGAAGGTGATGATGAGTGAAGTAGGAAAGAAAAGGGAATGCATGATGAGTGGCCCCAGTTTGGGAGGTAAGATTATCTACTAAGAGGGGTGGGATGATTTAACTGGAAAAGAAGGTTTAGAATGTTCACTATGGGAAGTGTGATAGCAAGTCTACCAGTTAAGAATGAAGGGATTGCCATGCAACGGATAAGGCCCAGTTAATACTAGAACTCTGTCTGTGGCCCAGTTTCCTCATCTTTAAAATGAGGATAATAATAGTATCTTCCTCAAATGGTTATTCTAAAGATCAAATTAACTTATTGTGTAAAGTGTTTCACAAATCTTAAAGCACTGTATGAATATTGGCTGGTATTATTTTAGCATGAATTTGTAGTGGAACCAATTGGTAAAATTACAGAACTTCTTTTAGTAATGTTTAGAGCAGGGGTGGGGATCCTGCAGCCTCGAGGCCACATGGTGGAACCATCAAAGGGCTGTACTTGAAGACCGAAAGGGCCACAGGTTCCCCCCTACCCACTCTCACCCCCCCCCCAGTCTAGAGCATCTTGGTAATGATAGCAAAGACCACAGGTAGTGGGAGTGATCTGAGGTTGGGAAGTGGCAGGTATTAATGCCAGAAGGATTCAGGGCTCAGAGATGGTGCATAAATAAACTTACTAACTGTTGGGTTGAGACTTTGGAGGAAAGTGAAACCAGAACAGGAGGTGCTGGATCCCAGAGAACAGGGAGGTGTGGAGGGAGTGAACATTGTGGGAAGGAAGAAAAATGGAGTTCAGAGGGACAAGGCAATGAATGGATAGAAAATCCTGATGAGAGGGGAATTTCAGAATTCGAGCTCACAGGGATGACCAGTTTGGGCTAATGACTACGCTGAGGGGTATAGAGAGAGAGCATAGCAGTCTAAGGGGCTGATGAGCTGGGAGGCCAGTGTGCTGGGAGAAATAGCACCTCAAACGTTGACACTCATGGTAGCAGCTGGATCCAAGAAGAAAGCTGTGAGCCAGGTATTAAACCCCTTAAGAAAGGAGAGAGAGATTACCTTGGACTCAAGGAGAAAGCAGCACGGAGTTCGACAGGATGATGTTGGCCGATGGAGTGTGCATCAGAAGAGAAGCTGCTGAGGATGGCTAGCAAAGAGCCTGGCCTGGCATTTTGTGCACTCATCCAATCAGTAAACATTTATTAAGCACCTACTATATGTAGGGTACCATGCTAAGCACTAGGGATACAATTAGAGGTAAAAGAGGGTCCCTGCCCTCAGGGATCTTACTGTGCAATGGAGGAGATGAGAAATATATGCAAACAATCCTACATAGAGGATAAATAGAAAGTAATTAACTGAGGGAAGGTTGGAGAGTTAAGAGGGGTTGAGAAAGGTTTCCTGTAGAAGGAGGTTTTTAGTTGGAGCTTAAAGAAAGCCTCCGCAGGAGAGAGGGCTTCTAGAGGACGTTTTCCGAAGAAATCCAGGCTCTTGTGAGCTCATCAAAGTTTGAATTTACTGAAGGCACAAAGTCTCCAAGAGTCAGGGAGCCTACAGTAACTTTTAGGAAGAAATGAAAACTCGGAGGGTTTCTTTTGACTTACAGCGGGTAATTGTGTGTTACAACCTTACTGGCCTCCTCACGCACATGTATTCTCTTCTGCCATGGAATTTTACTGGCCCGATTAAAACGTATAGACTTTGTCATCGCAGCGCCGGGACAACCCGGGGATCCAAGCAGCCTCAGCTGCTGTTATCATGACCTTTTAAAAATATCACAACTGACGAAGCTCATCTGCAAGAACGCTTCTGTCTCTCTAGCAGCACTCCTTGGAAATATCATGGGGTCCTCACGAAATGGTTTTTTTCCACGCTCTGCCTTGAGGGTTTTGTTTTTCCTTACCCACTCGGCATCTTTGTTATCCGTGTCTCCTTGAGGCTTCTTTGAATTTGCTGTCCATCCTCAAGCCTCTGTCTTTCCTTCCCTTCTCTTCTACCTCTCCCTCACTTGGAGCCTGCTGGCATTGAGCGCACCCTGCCTGTCCCTACAGCTCCCATCCCTGTCTGCAACCCCGTCTCTATGGCAATGAGAGGCAGAAAGTGCTGATGCAGCGAACTATGGAAGGACTGGCGAAGGAAAGTCGAGTGCGTGGGCTCGGGAGGAGTTGCACTTAATCCCTGGGATGCCGAAGGTGCCAGAGAGGACAGCTCGCTGGTGGTAGAGGGGGAGACTCCCACAATTAAGCCCAGCAGACTTGGCAGCCTTGTTACTAGAAATATTGTATGTTAAGATGAATTTCATTTACAGTTACTAAGTTCTTTGCTCGACTGGAAAAAAGCATTTAAAAAAACTTTTTCCTTTTTCTTTTTTAGGAGGCCAGACGCCCCAGTGCCTGATGGGGAAGGTGGTGCAAATGCCAAAGAGAGTTCAGATAGTGAATCTTCTTTTAGTGACTGAACTTCATGTTGGCCTTATAGAACTTCTATCTATATAATATATACATGTGTAGAAGGAGGGGTGTTTTGACAACTTATATGCTTTAGTCCTGAGGTAAAATCTATTTCTATTATATTAGAGGGTGACAACTTTCAGAGATCACCTTTCTTACAAAATATTTACTAGACTAAGATTTTTCAGCTCTTCATAATGGCTTCTAATCACAAGTTGAAAAAACATTATCTAGGAATCATCTGAATTTGTGAAAATTTTTCTATAACGACTAACTTGAATTTTGTCTGACCCATAATGGAATTAATAACCAGCCACACAATCAGTCAAAAATTATTTCTGTATTTTAAAAATGCAAAGGATTTTTTATTATCATAGTAGACGAGTAAATTGACACTGTGCATCTTATTACCACATGGAAGAATCTATAACCCCAGTATACCTGAATAAGTAAAAAGTGAATAGCCTACTTAAAATAAAGCATAATGGTATTACAAGCACTAAGCTGTGATACTTGAGTGATGCAATGTAAGTTGAAAAACAAAAACCATTTACTTTGAGTTTAATAGCAGGTAGCATACTTCCTAATTAGCTGTACCCAAACATTAAACTTGGTTAAATTGTGGAGGCTATTTGTACTAGTCATTTCTGAAAATGTTCACGAGTTCACTTTCATAACATTTACTAAATAATTTTCTGTCCAAAAGACAATACAGTTCAAAATCACCAAATTACCTATGGAGACTTCAGGTGTGGTTGTGAAGATGGTTCTCTTCCTGTTTACTAGAGAACAACACCTTTCAGCACTTGGTCATCATATATTATACCAAGGTCAGCGGTAACAGTCAACATTGACTGTAAATATGGTGTCCTCTTGAAAGAGTTAGCTAAGCATTTGTGCTACCCCTTCTGACCCGCTGCTCGAAGAGTATTTAATTTGCACGTGTTGTAGGAGCCGCTCACCTTTAGAGACAACCCTCTGTAAATAATGGTGCCGGAAATAGCTTAAGAAGTCTCTAAAACACTTGTTCCATGGAGAAATTGAAAAACTTACTGGATGGTGCTATTTCACAATCATGACCTAAATTTACTATTTTACTCTAGAAGTATAGGATTGTGCTATTTCTCCTTCAATCTGAAGCTAGATTTGATGCTAAGCCATATTTAAGACTTCCAGAATTTTTCTACTTGAAAATTTATTTTTAAAAAAATATACCAGTAATGAGCCAAGGATTAACAATAAACAAGTCTATGTCTTTATACTTCATTGTAATTACGATACAAATTTTAAATGTTTCCCTGGACACAACCCATCCAGTTTCCTTAGATCCATAAGCAAAACATGGCTTCTGTTAAAGGGTGAATGGTGTGTGTGTGCTCTTAGGAAGTATCACCCAGGTAACACTGTTAGTAAAACTGTTTTGTTTCTGAACAGGTTGCTTAAAATAATGAGCTCCATCCCCGGAGTTCACAAAGTATGGAAATTCCCACATTTTAACCTTGTGATGTAGCAGTGTTATGGTATTGCCCAGTGTGGCAGTCATTAAAAAAAATTATTTTGCCTTCTTTTTCTCAAAATGTTAATAAGCTAAGGGATGAAAACAAGTGACACAATGGTGGCTGCCTCAGTCTACCTAGATTGGACAGGCCATCTCTTTTTTTTTTTTTCCATTGAAGTCTTAGTGCTGACTCCACACACAGTCGGCCTCTTGTAAATGTGGATGAAATTAAATTGACCTTGTATTGCCTTTCACTGCCCTCCCACAAGTAGTGGTAATCTCTAGATCTTTTTAAACACCTAAATGGACGACTAAGAAGACTAAAATATAAGCTAACAAACCTCACGTTTTACAGTTTGCTATAAAATGGGTTCAGAATCCCAGCTCTGTTTCTTACTCTCTTTGTGATCTTGGGCAAGTCAGCTAACCTCTTTGGGCCTCATTTTCCTCTTTTGTAAAAGGAAAGAGTTGAACCAGATGATTACTGAGGTCCCTTCAGCTCTAAATCATAGGAATAAGATATAATACATATTTTTGCTACATAGTTAATCTTGTATGTTTTCAGCAATAAACAATCTTCACAAATATGAACAAAAGTATTTTCAGTACATGGACATCATTTCATCCAGTTTCCTCGTCTTACAGGTGAAGCAATGAATGCCAAGAAAGGTTAAAGTGACTTGCTGAAGAAATTAAAAATAATTTCATTTATGTCAATGAGAAATGCTTACTTTGGCCATTATATTCCTATGTATTAAAATGCTAGTCCTTTGTAAGAACTTACAAAATAGATTTTAATAATCTTATTAAACTTGCCTTTTGTAAACTACACACTGATTCCTTTGAGATGAAAAGTTGAGTTAAGTTATTTTCAGAACTCTCCTAAGGATATTCTAACATCTGTTTCACTTCTCTCCTTCACTCTCTCACTTAAACAAAAATTGTGTGATGCTGTGTTGTTGTAGTAACCAATTGTTTCTCCAAAAGCAGTTGTTAAAAGCAGGAGGGGACTGCCTGCACACCCTCAGCTATGCCTTTTTCTTCAGGTGGTAAGAAAGCTTCTGGCAACACTGGTCACACTTTGCTATACTTTCATTCTTATTTTAGAAATTCCCCTGAAGAGTTCATCATGATTAATTTTAATAAGATGGACCTTTAAAAAAACAAGAAGAAAGGACTTTATCATTTCTGTTGTTAAACAATCAGCTAAGCTGAGATATAAGATACAAAAATACAGTGATTAGCAATCAAGGTGACATAACCCATTCCATGGAATGGAATTCCATTTCCATTTCCATCATGGAAATTTATAGAAGAATAAAAACTTGAAAGGCTCTAAAAACATTTAATTATGGTGTGGATAAGTTCCTGTAGAGGTAAATTATCATTCTCAGAGCTCCCCTGGTAAAATGCTATCCCCTTAGAAGGCCTCTGAGAAGGTTGCCCAGTATCCCTTCCTTGCTTCAGTGTTGAATGACCTTTCAGAAATGTTTCAGAATAGGGAGGCATTGTGTTTAATATGAATCCCCTCGTGATTCAGCTTAAGCCCATTTTCTTCCTCACCAGTGGAGATGGAAAAAAAAAATCCACTGCTCCTTTTCCATCGTCTAATATGTCATGGGCTTCCAGACAAGTAGAGAAGAGGAGGGTTCATGGATTCAACAATACTTCTTTAATGAGCTGATCCTTCATAGGTATGTGAGCATCTGATTTTTTCATAACTGAGTGATGTTGTGAAACCTTATGCTGTAGGTGCTACAAGGGGGTATAGCCAGTGTAGAGATGAGATATTTACCTCTGTATTTGATGTGTGAATCCCAGGATTTCATTTCTGAACAAATACTCATCTTGAAATCAATCAAATACATACTGAGATTCTACCATGTAAAAAGGAGGTTCTCAGAGAACTCCAGATCTTCTAGGGGTTGACAAAATCTAAAATCTTTTTTTTTTATTTTTTTAGGCAATTGGGGTTAAGTGACTTGCCCAGGGTCACACAGCTAGTAAGTGTCAAGTGTTTGGTCTGAAGCCGGTTTTGAACTCAGGTCCTCCTGACTTCAGGGCCGGTGCTTTGTCCACTGCGCCACCTAGCTGCCCCTAAAATCTAAAATGTTAAAAAGTTATTTTTAATTACTTAAAATTAATAATATAAGCATCAATAATAGAAGACACAACAAAAAAAATGTTAGGAGATATCTTATATGACTCATTGCCAAATGAACGGTATAGATAATGAGGGCTCTAATTTCAGGTAAGGGTCTCATTGCTGTAGTCTGTAAAGGTTTTATGGAATAACTACCTACATTTACTAAGATCATTTCAAATTAAAATTCTTCCCTCTAAGCTCTTCCTTGCTTAGCTTGATATGCTTTCAAGTCATTGATGAAAATGTTTAACAGGCCTAAGTCCTGAGACACCCAACATTTATGTTCCAAGCCCAGTAACCCACTGATGATAAGTCAGGTATCAGTAAGATCTCTGATCATTTTTGTACCCACTGAACAGCTGTGGAATCTAGTACATTTTTTTCTGATGCATTCTTATATCTTCTGCTCTATATTCCAAATTAATGATATCTGGCCCAAGACCAGAGCTATAACTGACAACAAAAAGACTAGGAAGTGCCTGGAATTGGTGGTGTTGGCGCATTTACCCTGCTTTCCCATCCTGCTGCCTGTGCTGAAGAATATCCTATGTGTGCTGTCAGCTCCTGAGACAGATCTTAGAAAGTATCCTGGTGAAAGCTCACCTATCTTCATAGACCCTGCTCACGTACCATCTTCCCTGATGCCCCTCCTTGAAGTGATCTCTCCTTCCTTTGAACTCTCATATCACTTTCCTTGAATGTCTTACACAGTTATAGTTAGGCACACATATCATCTTAGGTTTGCTTTCTCTCCCATGTATCTAAAAGAGTATATTGCATATTGCACGCTTTCAATACATGTTTATCGAAATTGAATCCATTAATTTCCATCTCAAGTGGATATATGAGGAAGTACACAGTCCTATCACAGCAGGGTTGCATCCTGGCTTTGAAACATTTTTGACTTTTTAAAACTTGTATTTTTGTAACGTGGCAGAAGACAAACTATACAATACAACAGTTACTAAGATTGAAGAGAGCCTTAGTTATAAAATAATGGCTTTTGTTCTCATCCTTTTAAAATCAGATCTGAAATTGAATGAAGTGGCTTTTTTTAAGTGAAAATAATTTGCTTAGAAAATATATCCCCCAAACTCTCAAATGGGATGAGGCTATAATACGTAATAAGGTCACCATTCAAGCAACAGCATAAATAACTTTTTAATACTTCTGTTTAATGGGAACACTCCATGATCTATTGTTCCACCAACCACATTTACTTTTTACTTGCTAATGGAAGAAACTGGTATCTTTTTAATAACTGCTGATAGTCCCTAGTGTCTGCCAACAGTAGGATATATTAGGATTGGAAGAAGGGCCTACATGAAAAAACAGGAACTCCTTTTAGTTTTTTCTATTAAGTAGGGCTTTGGGAATGCTTTTTCAGTCTCATTGCTGAGTCAGAGTTAAGAAAGTAATCTCTATACCTCCATTTTCTGGTGCGGGTTTTTTTTTTTTTCTTCTTTTTCCTATGTGTAAATATGTGACCTTTTTCTTTTGTATTAGAAGCTTAAGTCATGACCATTATTGGAAGTATTTCTCATTTCTACTACCCTTATAGTAATTTTAAATCTCCAAAGGTCTGCCGTTAGCTGTAGCCTACCCTCCAGCGAGTAGAAACTGGGTAGGGAAGAAAAGGTTCTCTTTCCTTTGCTTTTGATTTCCTTTAAGTAAAGAAATTTAATTAGTTTCAGCTTTCTGGAATTAGTTGCCAAAACAGCCCAATAAGGTAATGATGATGGTAGCAAAGCATGGCTTTGGAGAAAGCCAATTTATTAAGTAAAAATCCATTTAATTTGACTTTTCAGATGTAAAAGTGCTAAAACATTTTGACCACAGAGATTATAAGGTGTAGGTAGATATAATCTGTAGTTTGAGGGTGGAAGGGCTGTGTTTAATTTACTTTTCCCTCTTTTTATTTGTCTTAATCGTTTGAGGGCAGAGCTTTCTCATTTTGGCAGCAAGCATTAAGTTGAGAGATTGAGTCGGCCTAAAGTTGCAACATTCACGGCAGAACAAAATGGACAAACCAAACCCCAAATAAGCTTCTCCTTCTGGAACAGCCTGTTCACTCATTGCACAGATGAAGTCATTTGTGTTGCAGTAATAGTGAAGGCTTGACATGAAAATGTTTCTGTTCCATCTTAGTGTGTCTACGATGTAACACTGATGACAGGTATTTAAGAACTGTCTGTCCCCTCCAAAAGGTTCACAGTCTGCTGAGTGCTATCAGAATGTCTCTCTACACATAGTTAAACAGATCAGACCTGCTTTGAAGCTGAGCACACGCTTTGTGTGGTAGGCTGCGCTCTGATTCAAGCTCTCCCCTTCAGATTTCACAGTTAATAACAAATGTTTAGTTTCTGAATAATGATCTTCTCATTTATTTGCTCTTTTTTCTCTTCCAAAACAGGCTTTGTGTTTTGGTTTTCTAAAGGAAAGGCATTGTACTTGAAAACAAATTTTCTTGCTTCCAAATGCATATAACCTAGCAAAACATAGTAAAATACATTACATGGTGTCCCAGAGCCCTGTTCAAGTTTATTTTTCATTGTATAATCAGTTCCATTTGGTTACAGAATCCTTGAGGCTATTTCATATTCGGTTCAGCGCTAACTAGCACCAAATTTGGTGGTTTGCAAAGTGGATTGTTGGTGTGAAGAAGGGAGGATCTGTACAATGAGAGCAATTAAAATCAAGGTCAGTCATACTTTTGAACATATCCTTTCTATGGGCTTATAAGAAAAAGAATGAATAGCCCTTGAATCCAGGAATGTCCTGTCTTTCAAAACAGTTCCAATCTGAAAGGAAAATGATCTTTCAACTGCTCTGGTTTTTTTAAGAATTCTCAGTCATTATTTGATGTTCTAACAAAGAGAGGCTGACTCCAAGCTCATTCTGGAAGGAGGATATTTTG